TAAGGAACTATTGAATGTGTTCTGGTTTTAGAATCAGAATTCTGATTTTAAAAAATCAGAATTCTGATTTTCAAAAATCAGAACTATTGTAAAAATCAGAATTTTGAGCTTAATAATCAGAATTCTGATTTTAGAAAATCAGAACAATTTTTCAAAATCAGAATTTGTGCTTAAAAATCAGAATTCTGATTTTTCTGGTCGATCAAATCACATCATTATATTTAAGAACACAGTCCAAACAGCACCGGATCTTTCAAAACACCCGTTGTTGTCTCAGCATTTTCACCTTTAAGTTTACAACCATTGCATAATTCTCCTTCTTCTGGTGGTCAAAGTAGTTCTGAGGGTGCTGCTGAATTAATTCAACAACAACAAAAACTTCAAAAAAGACCATCAGCATCCCCACGAGAAAGAAAATCTTCAACTTATCGAAATAATAAAACAATGAATGGACAACAACAACATAAAACAACAACATTTTCTGCTGCTTGTGATTCTTCTCAAGTTAAAAATGAAGGAGAATTGGATACTGCTTTTGCCTTAAATTTAGCTTTGGTATGTTTCTGATTTTTAGTTATGTTTTAAAATTATTCTGATTTTAAGATAATTCTGATTTTAAATTAATTCTGATTTTAATATTATTCTGATTTAAAATAATTCTGATATTAAAATTATTCTGATTATAAACTAATTCTGATTTTAATTCTGATTTAAATAAATTTAAAAAATAAAATAATTTCTTAACAATTCTGATTTAAAAAAACAATTCTGATTTTTCTTTAATTTAAATACAGAAGGCTCACCACAACGCTCAACAACATCAACAAACAATATTTTCAACAGAATCACCACAAAACATTCTCTCAACATCATTTCAGAATTTTCCAACAACATCTAACCGACAAACTTCATTTTCTGATTTTATGCGTTTTCGACCACCTCTACAATCACAATTTAATAATTCAAATCAAAATAATAATTTATTGCCTTTAATTCAAGAATTGATTAATCGTTCTAATGGAAGCGTCGAAAAACAAGGAAATTCTGTTGTTAATCAATCAGAACAACAACAACTTCTTTTAGGTCTTTTATCTCAACAACAGCAACATCAACAAACACCTCAAACAATAAGACAACAACAAGTTGGAAATGCTTCTGCTTCCTTATTATCTGCTTTACAACATTCTATTTTGGTAAGGAAAACATTAATAAAAACATTTTTTTATTGTTTTGTTGTGTGTTTTTATTTAATTCTGATTTTACAAAACATTAGAACACAAACAAATAATAAATTTTCAGAATATGAAATAAACATTTTCAGAATTTAAAATTAAAAGGGAAATTTCAGAATATAAATCAGAAAATGTTTATTCTGAAAAAATGTATTATTTGTTTGTGTTTTAATGTTTTTCTAAAATCAGAATTTAATAAAAACACTGAAAAACATATTAAACATGAAATAAAACAAATAATAAATGTTTAAATTATATTCTGGTTTTTAAAATCAGAATTTAATATATATAAAAAAATTTTAAATCAGAATTTAATAAAAACATTCGCCTGTCTTTATAAACTTTGTCAAATTAATTTAGCAACAACAGCGTCCCCAACAACAACATTCTTCTTCTTTCAACAATCAAATCACCCCTTCTACTTCCTCTAATAATAATTCTGCTAATATGATGGCACTTTTACAAATACAAAATTTACTTCAAAATTCTCCAAACATTTTTGGGTTAAAAACGCAGCAACAACAGACAACACCCAATTTAATTAATTTATTATCTGGTAATAATAACAATAAAATTATGGCTGCTTCTAATAATATGAAAAATGATACAACAGAAGCAAGAAGAGCCGATATAATTCAAGTAAAATTTTTTAATTTTTCAAATTTTACCAAAAAAATATTTTAGGAGGCTGATCAAATACTTCAAACAATTGTTCAACAAATGATTAGAACTAGGGATTTAGCCAGTTATTTGCGTAGACTAAGACAATTTTTGTCTGATAATTTTGTTGAGTGATATTTTGAGGATTTAAAAAATGTTTCTCATTTTTAAGTAAAATACATTCCGAGTTGTGTTAAAATTCTGATTTTTATGTTCAAATAAAATTCTGGTTTGGTATAAACTTACAAATAAAAAATCAGAATTATTTCCCAACAACATCCGACAACACTTATTTTTTCTATCAAACCATTCACTTCTACCTATTTAATTTTTGTTGTTTTCGATTCGATTTCTGATTATTTTTTATACCTCTTCTATAGCTTGCCTTTAGTACTTATATATTTTTGCTTTTATCCATAAAACTTTCTATGGCCTTACTATTATTTTTTATTTTGTCTTCTCGAGATTTATTGTACTTTGATTTTGTAAAAAATAAAGACTCAACATGTTTTAATAAAATTGTTTTACAACTTTACAAATTGTAAAAAATAAAACTTGTTTTACAAACATCACCAAGTTTTAAAATACAAGTTTGTTTTGGTGTTTGTTTTAAAACAAGTTGCTTTGTTGCAAACAGGTTTTTAAAACATCAAGTTTTACAAACGTAAATTATAGTAAAAACAGAGAAACGTGTTTTACAAACATCGAGTTTTGAAAATTGTTCTGATTAAAATAGGTAAAACTTGAACATGTTTAGACAACAAAACATAGGGTTAAAGGTTGTTTCTACTTAAATAAATTAATTTATCGTTGTCAGTGGTTGATAAATATTTTTATAAAAATAATTTTATTAAATTATAAAAAAGAAACAAACTTATTTTTGAAGGCTGTAAAATCAAAAATTTTTATGACATTGCATTGTTTGCTATTTAAATCGCTTTTGAGAGGTATTTTTCCAGCTTTTCACTCTTTGTTGTTGAAATAAATATTCGATAATATGTTTGAAATGTGTTTTTTTAATTTGTTTTTGTTTGTATTTTTGTGTTTATTAAAATACAAAAGTAGTTAACCCCCCCTCCAAGTCGTCAGGGGCAGCGGGGTCCAACCATTTAGCCCCTCCCACATATTTAAACGGTATTTAGACACACCCAATCCGTCGTCAGAGTCCAAAGATTCAATGGACACCCAAAGGATCAAAGGGTTTAAGGGTAATATGATCAAACCGGTTTAATGGCAAAAATTGAACTTTTTTAAAGAAAAACTATCATTCGCCCTATTCTTCACCAATTTTTATTTAAAAATTTCCTAAAGCTTCAAGATGTTCAGAATTTCTTTTGAACCGGTTCAAAGGATGTACTCTTAAAAAATTCTTAGAGAAACATCTTTCCAACCCTCTTCTCTATTTTCTAAATATCTTCTTTTATTTTTACCCTTTATTTTGAAAAATATAAAAATTATTAAAAAAGTAGGCGGTGAAAAGTGAAAATATATAATAATTATAAAAATTCATTCATGCAATAATTGTTACAAAAATTATTGTTAAATAGGTCAAAAATCTGTCATGCAAAAATTACATTGCAAAATTATATTTAGAAAGGAAAAAATGTCAAATTTATAAAATTTTCAAAAAATAGTAGTTAAACCCACCTCATATTGTAACAAGACTTAAGTCAAACAAAAGTTCGCTTTAACCAAAAGGTTTAAACCAAACGGTTTAAGGGTACTTTGATCAAACCGGTTTAAGAATAAATTGAACTTTTTAAAGAAATCACCTTACTTTTCACAAGATTACATATACAAACGGCTTCCAAAGGTTTAAGGGTTCAACAAGTGGTTTTGAATCGATTTATCCGTTTTGAAACACGATTTTCACAAGATTACATAACCATAAGTTTATAATGTTTCCCAAAAGTTCAAGAGTTTAAGAAGTAATTTTAAACCAGTTTAATCGGTTTTTCCTACATCAAAACCTCTCATATCAAACTTAACTTCTCATATCAAATCTCAAACATTAAACAGCTCTACATACTTTTTAAAATTTATATTACATTTAAATCCGTCTTATCTTGATCTAACCCTTTCTCTTTATTTTAATCCATTCTTGAAAAATACAATAATTATTATAAAAAGTGGAAATTTGCTAAAATCAATCATGCGCAAGAAAAATGGTGAAATTTAGTAAATAGATATTGAAAAGTAAAAATTGGGTAAATTATTAAAAAAAAGTAGGCGTTGGAAGTAAAAATAATGTTAAACAGTGAAAATATGTCACAAAATACGTCATGTGAAAATTGTTTCAAAAAAATGATTAAAAAGTAGGCGTGGAAAAGTGAAAATAGAAAAACTGTCAAATAAAAATGACATTTATAAATCCAAGTTTTTGAAAAATTTCCTCATTTTTTGAATAATTTAAAAATATTGATATTACTTTACTAACCTTAAATGTCTCCTCCACCTCTAAAGAGATCGAGGATGTTCCTCATTGACAACCTATTGCAAAAGGGTGGAGGTGATTATGTTAAACAACTCGGTGAGGAAACTAAACTCACTAAGAAATTCAACATGACCAAACTGACTACAAAATTTCTAATTAATAAACTACCTCCAAGCCCCGAAAGCCTACTTCAGGAAATATTCCAAACCTGTATCGACAAAACAATATCTACAAGCCGCGAACACCAACTTGAACCTGATCAACTAGGATGTATTGTCAGCAGTCAGCTGCTCGAAACTGACATTTGGATTCCCATTAGAGACATCACCAACAACACCATCGACGCCATACTTAATCAATTCTTGAAAGTCGCCCAATCCAAAAAGCAAGATAATGGTATGCTTTGGGGCGAACCATTTACAGTCTCCGTTACTACCATTGACAAGCAGAATATCCCTAGAATACGCGTCATCAGCGGAAGCGGTGGGAAATCTACTCGTAGGATAAATGATAAAAACCTCATCAAAATACGCAATACCGACAACCTATGTTTGTTTTATGCATTAATGGCTTCATACGTCTACTCAATATTTTCCTGGCCAAAATGGAAGTTCTATGATTATATGCATAGCAGAAGAGGTATGACTCATCAACTCGAACAAGATACCAAAAAACTATTGAGAGATGTTGGAGCTCCTCTTGATCAGCCAAGCTATGATGCGCAGAACTGGGTTCCCAAAGTGGTCAATTATTGGAATACATTGAACATAGGCCTGTTTAAAGTTTATATCTTTGGTGAATTTGCCGAAGAACCTATCTTCAAATATGGACAGGAAAAGTTTGATACCCCAATTATTCTTTATCACCACAATCAACATTTCGACGGTGTGCGAAGGGCATCTGATTTGTTTGGTGAAGCTTATTGCCTTTTTTGTGAAAAAACGTACAATCGTCCAAAAGATCATGCCACTTCATGCAAAGTTAAATGTCAAAACTGCTCCAGGATCGGTCCAAAGTTCCCATGCCAGCCCCTGAACAACTTTTTCAAACACTGCTCTGGATGTGACAAAGAATTTAAAAACGAGGACTGCTACAACCACCATCTATTCTCAAACTTCTGCGACAATTCTAAAAAATGTGAAAAATGTGGAGTGGTATGGTTTGTCAAAGATAACAACCGAAATGGTAGAAGTGGTCATGTTTGTTCCGAACGCTACTGTAACACCTGCTTCAGCTTTCATGATCCAAAAAGAGGATGTTATATCAAACCTCTTGCTACAAGGAAGCCGAAACCTTACCGCATCATCGCTTTCGACTTTGAAACTATGCAACACCAACAAGGGCAAAATGGAAAACTCCACGAAGTCAACTTTATTTGTGCTAAAATTAACTGCCCCGAGTGTATTGCTAATTGTTCGGACGTTTGTACTGTTTGCGGAGAGGATCGAACTATAACATTCTCCCACCAACCCTTTTGCAACACTCAAGTGGATCAACAAAATGTAACTACCGACCCTCTAACTGATTTTGCTTCATGGATCACCAACACTTCAACCGACACAGTAGCCTTCTCTCATTTTGGTGGAAGGTTCGACATGGTACTCCTCTTCAAGGCTTTGTATCTTCAAGGCTTAATACCTGAAATGATAAAGAAGGGCAACAAGATGTATGAGATGAAGGTGAAGAATTCTAAAAAATGCTGGATAATCTTCCACGACACCTACAATCTTATGCCAATGCCTCTTGCTTCACTTGTGACTGCTTTTGCTCTACAAGTCGAAGACAAGCCCTTCTTCCCACACTTGGCCAACAATCCAAATAATTATGGAAAAGAGGTCTTCCCAACAAAAGAAGACTATCTCGCCAACACTATGATGCCTGAGAAGCGTGCCCAATTTGACAAATGGTATGATAAACATAAGGATGAGCCTTTCCTTTTGGATGAACAACTGGCAGCGTATTGTACCAACGATGTGGAGATCCTGATGGCTGCGCTCATTGCCTTCCGTAACGAATTTTTGGAGGTCTCCAACGGCCTGGATGTTCTTCGGGAAGCTATGACAATTGCTTCTGCCTGCATGAAGCACTTCAGAATGAATCATCTCAAGGCAAACCATGTTGGGATTGTTCCGGAAAAAGGATACGACAATGCGGACAACCAAAGTAAGATGGCCCTCAAGTTCCTCAAATGGTATGGCGAGAAGAACAACGTTGAAGTGAGGACTGCCCACTCGAAGAATGGTGAAAAAAGGATGGGCAACTATAGATTGGATGGATGGGTCGAGGAAAAGAAGTTGGCAATTGAAGTCAACGGCTGCTGCTGGCATGGATGCCCCAAATGTTATCCGGAAGATGACTTGAAACTCCCCACTGGACTTACAGCTGGAAAGCAAAGAGAGAAAGACAAACAACGTCTGAACTTTATCAAGAATTTGGTAGTGGATGTGGAGATCTACTGGGAGTGTGAAATACGAGTTATGTTATCAAAGGACTATGATATGAGGAAGATGTTTAAAAAATACCTGGATGACGGACCCATCAACATTAGAGAGGCCTTCTATGGTGGCAGAACTGGCCCTCTCAAACTCTTTCATTCTGCAAAGCAAGGAGAAAAAATCTCCTACTACGACGTGACTTCCCTCTACCCGTTTATCAATGTTTCGACTCGATATCCTGTTGGACATCCAGAAGTCCATGTCATCAACAAAGATGTCAACTGGACTAAACCGGAAGACAACATTTACAATCTTTCCCTTCTAAAATTATTTGTAATTCCACCTCGAAAAATCGATGTTCCTGTCCTACCTATGAAAATTGGGGAAGACGAAGACGAAAGACTACTATTTCCCCTGTGTTCTACTTGTGCCAAAGAGCACCCAAAAGGGGACGTCAACGAAAACTACTGTTGTCCCCATTCAGATCAACAAAGAGGGTGGGTCAGCACATGCACATCTATTGAATTGAATGAAGCCCTCAAGGAGGGATATATTGTCACTAAATTATTCAGAGTATTGGAATACAAAAGCTACGACGACAAACTGTTTACCCCATACATCAGTGAATTTATGGCGCAAAAAATTCACTCGTCTGGGTTTGACAACTCAATTAAAGGAGATAAAGAGAAAGAAGATAAATTTATGAAGGAATGTATGGAATTGTTTGGGATTAAAATTGAAAGGGAGAAGATGGTGGTCAACAAAGGGAAAAGGACACAAGCGAAATTGTGTTTGAACAACTTATGGGGAAGATTTTCCCTTCGTAACTTTGGCCTCTCTCAGTGCAAAATTTCCAATGACCCAAGCGAATACGTGAAAATGAGCGACGACCCATCAATTACTATTAACCATTGTCATGAATTGACTGAGGATGGTACTGTTCTAATCGACTACACCAAAAAGAAGGATTGGGTGGAAGAACATGACTCATCAAATGTCATCATCTCGCTCTGGACCACCTCAGCAGCGAGAATCCACCTTCTACATGCCATGCAAAAAGTTGTAAGAAGTCCTGGTTGCGAGCTCCTTTACACTGACACAGACTCATTAATCTTCACACACCCAGACAACAATTGTCCTCTTCAATTAGGGCCTCATCTGGGACAGTTTACTGATGAGTACCCCGATTTCAACATCTTGGAATATTGCTCTGGAGGTGCAAAACAATATGGTTTGAAAATTCAAAAGAAGGCCGCTCCACTCAACTCAACTGACTATGTTCTCAAAGTCCGTGGAATGACTCTCAACTGGGATGTGATCAACAACCAAGGATTGTGCTATGAAAACTTCAAGAAGCAAGTTTTTGATTTTACAAAAGATGAATATGAACCAATAATGATTAATTATCCAAATTTTCTTAAACCATCTATTAAAGATGGTTCTATAATTACTCAACCTCTTTCTAAATTTTATAAGCCTTATGTCGGAAAAGGCATTGTTCGCCCTTCCAATTTTGTTGTATTAAATTTTGGTCACATTAATAATTAATTAATTATCTTGTTGTAATTTCTTCATGAGTTGGAAAGTAGCCAGGGGTATGGGCACCCAGACTCTATACCAACTATCGAATGTTGTGAGGTAATCCTCACATGTAAAATCGGTGGTAGCGGACTTGAGTAAATTCTCACTTCCCTGGTTGAGTTTGGGCATGCCTGTCAAATGGCGAAGCCACACTCTTATCTTTTCTATTTCTTTATTCTTATCTATTTTCAATAAAAAATTTTACATATTCTTAATAAATAATTTCTTTATTCTTATCTATTTTCAATAAAAATTTTACATATTCTTAATAAATAATTTTCCACAATATTATTGTATTAATTTTATTCGTGATAAAATTTTAAAGATACAATTTGCAAAAAATTATTCAATAGGAGTCACAAGTTTTAGGGGTAAAAATGCATAATTAGTAAAACAAAGATACAATTTAAAAAAATATTAAAAAATTAAGAAAAGAAAGACATAGTTTTTAGGGGTAATTTTACAGAATTAGTGAGACAAAGTAGTAAATTTCAGAATTTTATAAAAGGAGGTGTTCTTTTTAGGGGAAAAATTACAAAATTAAGAAAACGAATATAAAATTTATCAATTTTCATCTTTTTGAGTGTGCATGCGAGGGCGTGCATATGTAGAGGGGTGTGTTGCGAGTGAGTGGCGTGTGGGTGTGTTAAGGATGTGTTGTCGACAAGAAGTTATTACTTATTGTGAAGACTTGATAACATAGAAAATATTTCTTTTCGATTATTGTTTGAAGCCTAGCAACAACAATACTATTGATTCCTTCTAGATGCCTTATTAATGTCTTATGTAAATTGAAACACAAGAATAATCATTAATTTTAATATTTGATAGATATATATTACACATTGTTAAGAGATGTTCTTTTAGGAAGACCCTTCACATTTACTCCTGTGACTTTCACAGTAAAAGGTTCACCCCTCACTAAATACGCTTTTCTTATAATTCTATATAGAATGTCGTCCAAAGTATTATTATTAGACATTTCACATATTGGACTACATACATCATCATAAAATAGATCGCAACTCACAATACAACCTAAACTATCAGGCTCAATTTCGTTTTTAATACCTTCTCCAATTGTTTTTTCTATACAATTCTGGATAATTATTCTCATAATGTTTTCAATGTCAGAAAAGTCACTAATTATAACATACTCAAATATTCCTTTAGTTAGATGGAATTTTGTATTAGTTTTAAAGTGTTCGTGTATTTTAATAATTTTCAGATCTTCAATTAGTTTATCTAAGCTCATTATAGAAATATAATTTAGTGAGAATGAATATATTATACATAAAAAATTTTTGTTATAAAGAACTCTCTTCAGTCAGATGTAGCACGAGGTGTAAAGTAGTACCAGAGATGTGAAGTAGTACCATCAAACCTTAGATAAACTAGTTAAATTGGAAGTTGTTACAAAAACGTACTTTTTGTTGTGTGTACGGTCCAATGTTGCATTATTCTCTTTGAATAGTGAAATGACTAAACCAAAAATTTACTGAATCGAAATTCTCTTTCAAATATTTCACTTTTTATTTTCTTCTTGGCTAGCAGACATGTGATAAAATTTTAAATACAATTGAAAATTTAATAAAGAAGAGTTTGAACATTTAGAGGTAAAAATACAGAATTAGTAATTCAAAGATACAATTTTTAAATATTAAAAAATTATTAGAAGGAAGACATAGTTTTTAGGGGTAAAATTACATAATTAGTTACTCAAATTAGTAGATTTCAGAATTAAGGAAAAGGAGTTGTTGTTCTTAGGGTAGAATTACATTCTTAAGGAAAATAAGATGAAAATTGTCAATTTTCATCGTTTTCAGTAGGTAATGACTGTGCGTGTGTTCAGTGTGCGCATGTGTGTTGAGGGTGTGTGTGTTTTAAGTACACATGTTTCGGAATATTTCTATATTTACAATATTATATCGGAAATTCTATATTTACAATATATATCGGAATATTTCTATATTTACAATATATTTCTATATTTACAATATTTCTATTTTTACAATCGTCTTCGATAAATGATTACCGGGCTTTTCTCTAACTGTCTATTCAGGCTGTTCCACTAAATGATTACCCGGCTTTTCTTTAACTATCTATTCAGGCTGTTCCACTAAGATATTACCGGGCTGCTACGATGCGTAATATTTCAGACTGCCATATTTATTGTGTTGTTATAAATTTCATACATTCCTGTGAATATATAGGCTGAGCAAGGAATTTACAAGGATACCTTCCAGAATGAAAAATAGATACCTTCCACAATGACAAATAGATTGCTTGTCAATTTTATTTAGTTAAAATTGTTCATGACACCTTGTTTCTATAATTTATTACCCAGACAATTCATTTAATTACCTATTTATGCTTTAAGTTATTACCTGAGTGTTATCTATGTGATGACCCACACTATTCCTTGTGAGTACTCTGTCTGCCAATATGAGTTATGATTTATAGAATTTTAGAAAAATATTCAATTATGAAAAAATGAGGAAAATGTTTAAAACGTTTTAAGAATGTTTTAAGAATGTGTTGAACATTTTCCTCATTTTTT